CCATTCAATCACATACACCTTTGATAAATGCAATCAGACCAAAGAAACAAGGTCTTTGGGGGAGGGTAGTTCTGTTACGCTGAGAAAAAGGAACACATAGCACATAAGTGACCCTCATTGTGTAGCTCTGCTCCCACGCTGGTGATGCCAGGAGATAAAAGTCACCAATTTCTAGCAGAAACATGAGGGGGGGGGACAAAAAAAAAACCTTACTCATCTGCTTTCTTGAAAAGCTCAATTTATTGGGATAATGATGAAATGATCATTGATCAAGTTTCCTGAGCTCTGCAATTCCTCTCACTTCTAAGAATACAAATGCATTCCTGGAGACGAGGCATTCACTCTTACAGGTTCACGCTTGTGTCTGCCCCCCCACCCCTACCCTCCTGGGGCCTGAGCAGCCTTCACTCCACTGTGGAGCAGCAGACGCCCATCCACCATGGTGCTCCCAAGTTCACTGTCATTTCCAAATAATGTCAAAATTATTTTCACTTCTTTGATGTTCCGAGTTTACCTTGTTTAAGATGAATAAAGCAATTACAATCCTCTCAATGAAGAATCTGTTTTAAAATGCACTTTTAAGTCCAATTTGTGAGCAAGTCAATTATTTCTATTTGTTTTTCTTCTTGAGTGGCTAATTTCTTCCAACAATCTTTCTCTTAAAGAAGAGGGAATATTGGACCAAATTCTTCCCTAAAACTTAGCGTGTTAGGCTCATACCAACAGAGTAAGCAACAAACCATCTTAGTCTTACTTCAAAGTTAACCTTTTTGATGGACCTGGAGGGTATTACTCTAAGTGAAATAAGTCAGACAGAGAAAGATAAATACTATATTATTTCATTTACATGTGGAATCTAAAAATCAAAACAAACGAATAAACACAACAGAAACAAGCTCATAGATACAGAGAACAAATCAGTGGCTACCAGATGGGAAGGGTGCTGGGGGGTTTAGAGGGAACGGGTGAAAAAGGTGAAAGGTATTAGAGGTATAAATTGCCAGCTATAAAAACAGTCATGGGGATGTAAATGAAAGCATAGGGAATACAGTCAATAATATTGTAATAACTATGTATTTCAGGTGGGTACTAGACTTATGGGGGAGAATCGCTTTGTAAGGTATATAAATGTCTAATCACTATGCTGTACACCTGAAACTAATATTGCATGTCAACCATAACTGAAAAAGAAATTTGAAAAAATTTATTTTTTTACCCACCCCCTCCCTCAGAGCCCACCCCTGAGATGCTACCGCTTCTCTAGAGCCTTTCCTAAATTTTCCTCCAGCTTCCTAGCCCACTCCAAATGGAAGTGGGCTCCACTGCCATGGAACTCATGCACTTTTGTAACCACCCATGGTCCTTCTTTTCTAAATGGGGTAGCAGTACTTAGGGAATCTTTTTTCTTGTTGTCAACCAACATTGGGCATCTTCTATGTGTCTGATGCTGTGCGGGGTGTCTGGGACAAAAAAGAAAAAAAAAGAAAAAAAAAGTCGAGGTTCTGGCCCTCAGTGTGCTTATGATCTAGTGGATGAGACAAGACTAGGACAGGGGTTGTACCTAGTGCAGTGGGGCCCAGGTAAGGGGAAAATTTAGTGACTAGGGAAATATGAAAGAGATGGGACTATTTGAAGTTGGGTCTTGAAGACAAGTTTGTTAAAAAAAAAATAGAGTGTAAGGGAGGGTTCTTCTAGGTCAAAAGAACATTATATACAGCAGTGCTTGGCACAGGGCAGGGATGGGCGCGCAGTACGTATTGACTGAATGAAGCAACAGCCCAGAAGTTTACAGCATTGTCTTAGCCCCTCCTCACTACTACCATCTACACTTACGGAGCGCCTACACGAATTCCATCCCTCATGTCCATCCTGTTAGTTAGGCGGCATCATCCTCATTTTCTGGATGAGGAAACTGAGGCTTTCACGAACCAAGGCCCCAAAGCTATCAAGGAACAGAGCCTGGCCTGCATTCCTAGTCATACAGGGAGATGTTAATGAGCTCACCTTCAAGGACCCTTTTATAGAGCAAACTCTTAGCTCTCTTCCTCTACGCCTTGCTGGACCACTCCAGGCATCCCTCAAATACTCCCAAATACCACTTCTGGTAACGCACACAGGGATGGAGGAAGACAGAAGCAGCCAACGCCACGCTCCATGAAGATTCTGGGAATAGCAGGGACCTGTCTCCCTATAAATCCGATGTTAGTCCTCTTGCGGTATTTGGTCCTAGTGGCCCCAAGTGAGGG